CCAATCGTTTGAAAGATCTTGTTCCCAATAACATTCATGTTTTATCATTATAAGTAATTTTTTATCTACTTTAAGAAACTGCCATAATGTTAATCTCATTAAATTCAATCATTGTTTTCTAAAAGGAAATAAATCTAAAGCAAAAACAATGAAGAAAGAAAACTCATTTCATTTTTCATTTCAACATGCCATCAACTTCATATCCTCATCAATTTCAATATTTGCATTTATCAAACTTCTTTTTAACAAATAATTGGTAGCTGATTATACCATCTTGTTTGACAATAAAAAGCAAGGTTTAATACTTTACAGCACTACAATTTAATTGTGACTCATTTTAAGAGTTCAATTAGAGATTCATAATTGATTCAAGATCAGAACCAGTCTGATCAAAAGAGGCAGTTGCATGTGTTCAAAATTTTTAACAATACACATTAAAACTGTCAAGATTACAATTACATGTGTAAAGAAACCAGTTTTCAAAATTAGGTCATAAAAGTGAAACTAGGGGTCAACCATATTTATCTGGTTTACAAATATATCTACTTATTGTAGTAAAAAATGGTCAACAAACTTTAACAATAAATCACAGCTCAACTTGATCTACAAGACTGCATGATTAGAGAGAAAAAATTCAGGTACAAAAAGTTCTGATAAGAATACAAAACATGAATTTCCTGTCTGCATGGACATTATATCATTTTTAGGATTGAATACGCCTGGCGTCTAATCTAATAAATTATCACAGAATTTTATCCCTATTTCACAAAATCTTAAGACACCAGAATTCATTTATAACAAAAATAAAACAGGACTTCCCTACTTAACAGTTGAATCAAAATGCTTGAGAGAAAATTAATGACATAATTTAACAGAAAATAAAATAAAACAACAGATCTATGTATAAATTCAACAGATACAACCTTTGTAATTATAAACGTTTTAAATTATTCAGAGTTAAAACCTAGATAGGAGTTACATGTCATGGATTCAAAGAAAGAACAATGTCACATATTTGGTCCAATTTTGACTGCTAATCAGACAGTTTTCTCTTAATTTATCAGGTCAAAGTTTCCATCCAATCCTTATCATTGCGGTGTGATCAGTATAAGAATGTGAATGTTTTCCATGAGATGAGATATATATCAAGAAAATAGAAAATATTGAAATATTTATCCTAAAAAATTATTCTTTGTGGTAAAGAATTTCGAAAAATTCTACTAATATTACAATTGACATTATCAATTTTACCATCTTGACAATGGATTCCAAAAATTCAAGAGAAAACTCCAGTGTGCAATGTTTGCATACAAAACAGTCATGATTTCACTTTCTATTTCAACAAATGTTTGATAATCAAAATAAAAAAAATATACTTCATCCTTTAAAATATTGGTGTACTACACATCAAACAACCTTGAATACTGTGTAAGCTAGAGATGCCAGCCTTCACTAAGACATAAGATTATTGGTGTAGTGTAATGACAAAGTAAACTGCATCTCTAAGCACAGAATGAAGAATTAGTATATTTGTATTACAGTACCTACCAGCAGGAAGCCCATTCCTGGCAAAAAGCTTGACAATAAGCCCATTCCATGTAAAAGACCCATGTCTTATAAGCTTATTTTTCAGGTACCTATTCCAGATAACAGGCACATGTCTGGAAATAGGCTTATTTTTCAAGTAATAAGCCCATGTCCCCTGGAAATAACTCCAGCCATTTACATAGCAGTTCAGTAAATTCATTATGCAATGTTATTCTGCTGTCCTTTATTAAATAAACACATGTTCTCACATTTAGTCAAAGGCTATGTATTGATCCCCTAAGTTCCTGTAATATGTCAATTCATGTCCCAGATAAGGTGTTGGATCCCTGAGATCCTGTTATAAAGCCAGACTGACTTTGAGTACGGTTTATGTGATGTATAAGCTAATCCATGCCTTTGAGTAGAGATTTTGTGTCTGACCCCTTCGGTCCTGGAATAAGCCCGTCCATGACTTTGAGTAGAGGTTATGCGTTGGACACCTGGGGTCCTGGAATAAACCAATCCATGACTTTGAGTAAATAGAAATAAATCTTTGCAATGTGCTGGGAGACAAAGTCATCCATCAAACAATTCAAGTTCTTAAGTAAACGACACTGAATAATTTTACATTTGTGTGCATTATCATTGCTGGATGAAAATTCCCAGACATAAATAAACTCCATCTTCAATGAAAATAGGACTTATTTAAGTATATATATATATATGTTAAGATCTAATGAGGCTGTCAATACACAAAGAAGTGAACTAATCTTTCGGCTATTTCTAATTAATACTGTTCATCTTAAAATGAACCAGGATTTTTAAACATAAAACATGTATTGAATTAACTTTTATTTGGCTCCACCTGTGTAGATTTTCAGAGCATCATATCTAAGTATTAATGATTTTATGGATTAAAGATATTCATGAATTCCACTTAAACTCGTAAATGTATAAAAACATGTCAAAATTTTCTTGGCCAATGTTTAAGTTCAGTAATTCATGGATGAATAAAAATTTCTGGATGAACATAAATAAAATCAAGAAAAATTTTATGATTTTGTTGTTTTCTATAAATATTTACACAATGACATTGGTGTTGTTTATGACGATTTTGTATAACAATACATATATATATATATATATACACATGTATATATAAAACCTGTCAGGTAAATGAATAGCACTTCTGACTTGGAATATCATGACTGTACAATTGTATATACACAATGTTGTTCGAAATGATACAAGACAAAGAAAATACAATGTCAATGCAATTATAACGAAACAAGTCATTTTGAACAATTACATGTAGGAATAATGATACACAATATTAAATATGTTAACAATGGTCGTCAAATACAAATAGATATAATAATGTGATAGACCATTTTAATTAAAAGTACCCAAATGTTTTGAATCTCCCATTTTTCAAAGGAAGTAAAAAAAAAATTTTTTCATGAGGGTAAAATGACTCCCATTATTTACTTTCTAGAAGATGACACATTTGAATAACTGTTATTGCACACAATTTAAGTCAAATATTTATTTTTAAATGTTTCAAATAGAGATTTCTGTAAACAAAAACAAAAAGTATCATTTAAGTCACTAATTTTTGAAAACACATATATAATCCAAATTGTCAACAGCACTCTATTAGCTGAATATTTTAGCTATTCTGGAATGGATTATGTTATTTGTCTCTCCCTCTTCAATTATTTTCATCACCTCCATTATTATGACTTATTTTCAAATTACAATACAAGATTTCTTTCCCAAACAGTTTCAGTTCTTTCAATATCAGCATCTTGAAGGATTACTCTGTCACATGGGTTTGAAATGGAATTGTGCCTTACCAATGTTGCTGGCCTGGTTTGAAACACCACTAAATATTGAGACAGTGCCAACCATGAAGCTTATTTTGTTTTAGTTTTAGTTTTGTTTTTGGTTTTTTTTTTTGGAAGGTAGGTGGGGAGTGGGGGGAAAAGAAGTTGTATTAGATAGGTGTTAATAGTTTTCTTACAAAATGTCATCTTATCAATTGAAAATTAACATTTCTTAGCTTTTAACTGAAAATTTTGTAATTTATAGATTGGAACATGAAGAACCAACAACTTATGAAAATTATGCAACTAATGTATTAAGTTTACTGTTGCTATAAATTCTATTAACAGACCAGTGTGACCAAAATAAGTCAGACATCTGCTTTGTTACCAACTCAGAATGTAGTTATTCCCATATTGCTTTTTTCACAGTACATTTTCAGCATGAACAATCACATGTAGGTAGATAAAAGCTAATTTATAAATATTATCAAACTTTCTACATTTCCAATCACAATCTTATAAACCTTTCATGTGAATGGAAACTTAAATTTCACTCTGCAAATCTTTCTCTCAAATTTTCATAAATCTATCTAATGTTTTAAAGAAAAGCTAATTTAATGGAACTACAGTCAAACCTCTTTGTCTCGATATAGGTGGGATGTGTGAAAATCTTGAGCTATCAATATTTTATTCCAGTGAAATGAAATATTTAATGATAAATTTGACTGGGACCATCAAAACACTTCAAATTAAACAGGGTCTGAGTAATATGAGTTTAAGATAACAAGATTTGACTGTACATAGTCTATGCCTTGTGACATCTTTTTTTTATAAAATTTATTAAAATCAATACAATTTTAGCTTTTCAGATTTGTTCAGCCAGACATAAGGTTGATATAACTCTACTGGTTGTATTATAAGGACGCATATTCTATAGACATAACCAACATAAACAAAATTATACGAAATAAGTTTGATACTGAACAGGGGGACCGTATTTACTCTTAATTTCATCACCGTACATCTTTGAAAGTTCAAGCATTTACTACTGGAAAATTTCATAACACGAAAACCTCAATAAATGAAGGGTGACAGTAAGGCCAGATTTCACTGCATAAGACTAGACAATGCTTTTCTCTCAGTACTGCCTTTAATAAACAATGTAATGTTCTCATATCAAAATTGCCAAAAACGATTCTCATTTGGCAGTTTTGGTATGAGAACATTATTCTTTATTCTAGACCATAATACCAAAACATATACAAGCATATTGCCAAATTATCAATTTTTCATTTTTTTTCAATTGCAGTGATTTAAATGGAGGAATTTTTAAACACAATTTTACTCAAATTCTATTATTATAATCACAGAATGCTTGTGACCTTTTCTACAGGGCATAAAAACTTGTTCACTTTCATACTAAATCAGTCATAAATGGTAGATACCTTCAATCTAGTTTGATATTATTCCTTTGTTCAGGTTTGCTTAAAGCAATGTGTGGAAACTTGTAAGAAGAATATCTTAGATAATGCAGGACATACACTTAAATGGCAGCACACATCCTTGATCACAAAAGGTTTCTTCAAAAAAATTTGAGTGCACAAAATACAAATGATGAAGTATGTAGTGTTACAATCAATATCCGTATATAACTAAGGTAAAACCTCTAAAAAAAACTATTTGTGACACAGATTAATAGCACTGTATATCAGCTTGTTTCACAGTTAGGGATGCACAAGATGTTTTTTTTCTTATGCAGACAGAGTTATCTTTTCATGGCTAATCTTTGGCCTTCATGGACAAGCATAAGATTAAAGTGTTTCTCCACTATTTTTCATGTTTGTACCACTGCAACCAAAACCTGCAAACCATTTGAATTTTTTGCCCTTGAAAAATATTCTATATAAAAAGCAAACTGTATCTGTTTTCTGATAACAGGCTTTACCACAGTATAGATTCCTACATGGAAAGTGTCATGACTTATGCTAAATGGTGATTATTGCAACTTCATCAGAGCATGAGACCATTAACTTGCATATTTATAACAACTGTGAATCTGTTGCAGCATGATGCAGTACTGAAGTGTAAAAATGCTGCGTCAGCTGAAGATCAAGTGTTAACAACAATACTGATAGGTACAAAGTACGGTTCCTGCTCCAGACTAGAATTCTCCTCATGATCCAATTGACCATCATCACTGTCCGTATCATCCTCTTCTCCGTCATCGATCCGATCGTTGTCAGTACTGTCTGTTGATTGCTGTGCGACTGTTTCTGATTTCACTACAACTTTACCCTTACCGGCACCAGCCTCTACGGGCTCGGATTTCACACGAGCGTCAAGATTACGGCAAAGTATTTTTGACTTTTTCTCTGAAGCATTCCTTCTGTAAGGTTTTGTCCGTATTTTTGCGAATTCCTCTACACTGAGAACACGGATCCCTGCCGCCGTTAGCAGTTTACCGTGTCTTGTCTTCAGATGTCTCTTGTATGTATTTCTGGTTTTGAATTTCTGAGGACAATCTGTACAAACAAATGGTGTTTCTCCAGTATGTCTCCTTAAGTGTTCCTGAAAGTAAACAGAATACATATACAGCATGTCTTGATGCAGGTTTCAAGGATACAAACTAGGAATCAATATATATATAGTACTAGTAATGTTCTGTATGTGTATGTGGTTTTAGCACATTCTACTTTCATTTTAATTGTGATGGTAATCCATTGTACTATGTACTTGGTAATTGTCAGCGAAATAAATCAGAAGAATTCTAGACAGTGTTTTGTTGGTGCGTTACAATCCACCACTGTGACAATGACTGGGTATGGCCATCACCTGCCCATCCACATGGGTTTTCGTCTGGTACTCCAGTTTCCTGCCACAGTAAGACCCCTCGAGCCCTTTTATTTTGGCCAACAAGAGTAATTAATATAAGCAATTGTAATAAAATAAAGTTTATAGTTTTAAACTTGTGACAGGTGCCTTGTAATATAGTTTATAGTTTTAAACTTGTGACGGGTGCCCTGTAATAAAGTTTAGAGTTTTAAACTTGTGACAGGTGCCCTTTTACATAGTTCATTGTTTTGAAATTGTAATAGGTGCCCTATAAACCCTATCTTATCACAAGTGATTCAGATTATGTCCAACTTAGAATCAAATAAACAAGCAAATAAATTTCTCTGGAAACTGAAATAAATAACAGATTCATCAGATGCATTACAATTGCACATATGATACATGTAGATCCAAGATAAACTGCATGTAAAGGAATTTTGAAAATTATCCTTGTTTTAATACTTTGCAATTAAATATAACTCCCTTTCCTTTAGATGTTTCCAAATTAAGATTTTTATGCATAGGTATACATATAGAGTGACTATTTAAGGTATTTTTGTACTTTCATATAGAATGAATATTTTAAGTATTTCTGTACATACATATACAGAGTGAATATTTAAGGTATTTACGTTCATACATATATAGTGAATATTCAAGTCATTTCTGTACATTCATATAGAATGAATATTTAATGTATTTCTGTACATTTATTTCATAAAACTTCCATTTTTCGGATCCATCGAAAAACTTTCCAAGAAAAATATGTATATGCTGATCTAGCTGATAAAAGATAAAATCCAAACCTTGAAGTGACTTGGATGTCTGAACTTCCTGCCACAGTCTTTACAGGTGAACCTGCTCTGGTTGTTATGGATCAACATGTGGTAGTTAAGGCTGTGTTGGCGGGTGAAGGTCGTATTACATATAAGGCACACAAATGGCTTGATACCTGTAATAGATATTTAAATATTCTGTTTATCAATTTAAGTGGTAGTTAGTCATTTAATTCTTGCTTATGACCTACAAATTCTGATTATTTAACTGCTGATTAATTCATCACTGATATGGTTTCACTGTACCATAACAAGAATATCAGTGAAACTGATGAAACACCCCAAAAACAATTTTTTTGGACACAAAATTCTGTGTCAATAATTCTTTAATTAAAGGGTTTCAGGCCCTGAATTTATTACACTGCACATCCTTTTAGTAAAACATGTATACACCAAGTTTCATTGTCCTAGCTTAAATGAAAGCAAGGTTGCACTCTTGACTGAAAAGTTTTAACAAAGGACAATAACTCCATAACTGAGAAGTTTCAGGACCTGAATTTGGTAACACTGCGCAATGTGTGACCAGAGTATACATTAAGTTTCAATATTTCCTAGATTAAGCTATGCTCTGGACAAGAATAATTTTAACTTAAGGGCAATAGCTCCTGGCCCTAACATTGGTATGCAGTGCAACATGTCTCCAAATTAAATTCTGCTTTGGACATGAAATTTTAACAAAAGGCAATAACTCCATAATTAAGGGGTTGATGGACCTAACACTCTCGCAAAGTACATCGTCTTATACACCACCAATTCGTATCCCAAGTTTATTATCCAAGTTTAAATGTGGGTAAAGTTATACTCTGGACACAAAAGGATGGGTGGAAAGATGGACAAACAAAGAGAAAACTATATGCTCCTCAGAAAATTTGGCCATATTACGAAGTAAATTGAATTGGGAATGGGCCCATATTTGGCCTAACAGAGCCCCTGAAAGAAGACCTGATTGATCTAATATGCTGGGATCTTGTATTTACCTGCATGGCTTCTGTAGTGGTACATCAATGTTGCACTTGCAGTAAACTTCTTGTCTTTACAGATCCGACAGTGCAAAGGAGATCGATCCTCCTTCTTCTTCAGCTTCAGCTCTCGGATACATTTCAATGCTAATTTCTGTGAAAACAATTCTATATCAGTTCCTATGGTATCTAATCTTTCGAGGCTGCATGTCAGTGTCATTACATATCATTAACAATGTTATCTAATGTCAGGGCTCTCGATATGTCAGATTTGGGGCCAATATTCGGCCCCATTCCCAATGCAAAATAGTATCTTTTTTTCCTCGATTTTAAGGAAAACGCTGCTATTTTTCCCAATTCTAAGGACCCTGTGCCCCAGTCCCAAAATGGGGTGTGAGAGCCCTGAATATCGATCAATAATTGGTTCTGACACCATCCAAATCCTGATCAAAGTTTATACAAAACTGCATCTTTCCATTTTATATTTTAGTGCAGCACAAAATACTGATCATATTGACTGTCAAATAGATGCAAAGTTTGGTATTGATACCATAATTTCTCAATTTAGCGATGTCATACATTTGTCACCGAGGAGCTGGTACTACAATAATTTTATTATATTTCAATTAAAACTTGACTTCAATATTTACCATGCAATCTTATGGCAAAAATTTGACCCTGGAGAAATAAACAGTATAATGGTCCTGATATTAAATGAAGATCTTACTCTTTCCCATTCCACATTTATCTCCCGGTCCACATGGGTGGTGACTACACCCTTTTTCCTCCTCTTGGGGTTGAGCATCAGAGGTTCCTCCTCCTCACTGATTGGGTCATACTCCTCCGGGACATGCATACGACCTCGTTTGGCGATTGCATACTTTGGCATGGGTGGGTAGGGCCCTACGGAAAGAGCAATGATCAGATATGTAACCATATGTCAACACTAGTCATTAATGTAACGCTGTTAAATACTAGCCACGATATACCTGTAATAGGGTCGTTTTTATTAATTCTGTGCTGCCATTATTGATGCGTTGCGTCTTTGGTTTTTTCCGCATCATCTTCTTAACCACTTGTGCATGTATAAATGTTGTGTACGCATGTCCAGGCTACCTATGTGACGTTATACGTATATGTGTGTCCAGGTATTGTCTTGTTTGGTGGTCTTTGTTTGTCATTGGCGGGGATTTAGTGGACAAGAGACCTTTCATGGTACGGACGGAAAAATATTGGTACAAGACCATAGGGACTCTTGACCCATTGTCAGGGTAGGTAGCTATTGTTTCAATAAGATTTACATATGTGGCGTTACTATAAATTATACATTAAATATTGTATCTGTCTACTAGGATACTATGAGAAGAATTCATGTTTTTAACACTAGGAAATATATGTGCTTATGTATTTATTCTTTGTACTGTAGGGTCTTTGACTTAATCTAGATGCAAATAAAGATAAAAGTGAAAGCGGACAAAAGCATTCCCCCTTATTACATCATTTTTACTTACCCCTCAGATAGCGAGACCTTCTCTTTAACACAATTAATTGAGTGTCAAACTAGTAATTATAAGCCAGGGAGCCCCAGTTTGAGTCCTAGCAGAGGCAATGAGGACAAGTTATTTCCTGGAGTGAGAGTATACATAGGTATCCCTGGTAAATACTAGCCGCAATAAACCACTCTGCTAACAAGAACTTCACTTCAGCTTGATCAGTTGAGCATCAGACATGTAAGCCAAAGGGCCAAGGTTCAAGTTCTACCAGAGGCATTGGAATAAATAATGACCTCTGTTTCATTAACCAAACTTGAATACCAAATTTTGTATCAGTGTATTCCCAGTACAAGCATCAACACAGATCTCTTTTAGTAAATTGTGTGTCTTAATTTCAACAGAAACGGTAGAACCAATGAACACTCCCCATATAAAAACGCTAGAAGTTTCATGTTGCTACCTCTTATAGTTTTGTGTTATGCTCTGGACAAAATTTAAGTATGAAAAAATATCAATGGTCAATAACTCCTAAATTTTGCAAAGAGAGTTATGGTTCTTGAACACTGCACTTCTCCTTATCGAGATCTATCTACCTATGAGGTTTCATGTTGATACCTATTATGGATTTTTGTGATATGTTCTTGACAAAGTTATGACGAATGAACAGATGGACACACAAAGAGGCAACTATATGCTCTCCCATAATAAAATAAAATAATAAAATGCACAAAAATACAAAATAAAGAGGTAAAATAAAATACAGTTGTCTTATAATTGACATCCTTATTGATAACACATGATACATAAACTCTATTAAGATAAGGATGTCAATTATTAGACATAGGAAGTTATTATTACTTTATCATATATCTCTCACCATTTAAAAAACTGTATTTTATATTACCTCCTCATTTTATATAATGTTAAAAGCAGTGATTTAAGAAATTACAATTTGATATAATCCAATTCTTGATCTTAATCATTTTTTCACTGTATATTATTATTATGACATTCTTAACGGCCTGTCAACACATAAGAGGTCATTACGGCCATCAACCATTGAAACACACAGCGATCCAAAAAAGGAAATAACATCAAACAAACCAAAAGGTAAAAGACGAATGCTAAAAATCTTGTAAACTGCATAACATTAAAACTTAATACTAACTTTGACCATTGTGGCCTTCATAGTCATCAGGCAGTAGATCATCAATGATTTCCTCTGCACACACAATAATTGTTTTCGATGCTTCGTCTGTTCCTGTTCCCGTTAATTCATCCATAACCGACACATTGCCGAGACAAAGTATAGGCTCCACCAATTTTTCCGGTCGAATGATCTTTTTTCCATATGCTCGAATATGGTCCCCAATGTCATCTTCTTCCGTTTCCTCATCAGATGTGTCGTGCAACATATCATCAATTCCTCTCTTTTTACCAAATATGGTAGTGTAGCAGTGGTCATGGTGAGGCTGAGTACGACTAAGCAGGTCGATGATGAATTGTTCGTTCTCCTCCATTCGGCGTTCAGTATCATCTTGGTCCGAATCATGACCATCGTCTCCAGATCTTTTACCAAATGATTTCACTCTTGAACTGGAACGCACTGGGAACTTTTGATGTGCAAAATTAACCTGCTTTTGTGAAAGTCTGCTTCTTTTACTTGGAGATGATCTAATATTTTCATATTCATCATCATCTGAGAACTCCGCCATTTCCTCACACTCCAGATCCATTGATTTGTCCTCGCCCACCAGCGTTCCTTTTGAGATTTGTTCCTCTGTATCAGAACTATTGTCACCTCTTTGCTTTAATGCTGTAAATTTTGTTCGTTTGCCTCCGGATTTCTTTTTGCTTGCCAACACTGAAATATTATTTATCAAATTAGAACAACATAAACTCAGAAAATTAGTCAAATTCTTTTTAGTGGTACAACTTTGGTTTTAGTTGCTTTCAAAGCATGAAGCCAAGCGGCCTTCATGTTCACCTGAGAAAGGCTGAATGCAAAGATTATAGGGTAAGTAGATTTCAAGTGTCACAAAAAGACATAGCAACATTAATGATAGAAAAAACTAAGTGATATATTTTAACCACTTAACCAAGTTGTTTCCAATGGAAAATAAACAACTTTTTGCTCAAAATGTAATTTTCTTATAAAAACTAGAGCAAACTTTACCCCCTTCCCAAGAGGACAAAAAAATTGCCACAATTACTAATTCAGTTTGGAGAAATGTAACAAATATAATCAAACTTAACAATGCAAATGAAAATGAATTAAATTATTATGATTTTTCTTTTTGTTAGGCACATTACCCTTTGTGATGGCAATATGTCAGCATGGCATTGCGGCTCAAAAACCTGAAAATGAATACCTGATACCTCACATTTAGCAGTATAAGTTTTAAAAATCTTCATTGTGTACAGATACATGTGAATCTATGTAAGAGTCACACAGATTTTTGGCATAAAAGAAAATAAATTCCCAACCTGATATCCGCTTGTTCCTGACATGGATGGGTTCTGCTTGAAACACATACTTTGCTTTAATGTTTGGATCTAAAATAAATAATTACACATTGTAAACTTTAACAGTATATTAATTAATATCCTGACATGTGGTTAGTAAGCCAAGGAGGCCAATGTATCATGACAACTTTTTTGATGAAGTTAATCAATCACACGATCAGTCGGCTATGTGTTCGATATTCATAGAAAACATTCTCTGTTGCAGAATTAATTTTTATTATTTTTTTTGTGTAAATTTGACCTAAAATACTGTACCTTTATTACCTAGTATTTTATTATCAGAAATGATCAGATAAAAGATGACTGGGGGTTGACGCCATTAGCATCATATCAGAGTATAAGACACATTTTTCAAGTTATCAGAATTAATTGGTCATGCACCAGAAAAAAGCATCAGCAAATGAAAACATTCCAAAAGATATTTACCATTAAACTCATCATTAAGTTTCTCTATGTGTTTGTGTAGGTGGGTCCTCATCCTCATCCTAGCTTGAGTTTCATTTCCAAAACTCTTGTATTGTTCCTGGCATTTCTTGGGCATTAGGTAGCAAGTGTACGTGAAGTTGCGTGTTATTTCATTGGATTTCATTTCTGAGAAGAAACTGAGAAGTGCTTTGTCCGACAAGCTTTGAATCTGATCCAAGTCCAACAACTCCAAAGTCTGAAGACTCCGCTTTCTCAGCTAAAATATAAAACATTAACATATACTAGGTCTATCAACTTATAAACAAATCAAAACACTAGAACTGTCACCAGGATGGCTGACTAATACCACCTTAATTCCCAAATCAACAATAATTTCGGAGGCGTTGTCCCAACAAGATTCCTCCAAGAGGACTTCATCTGGTCATCATGGTAACCAAATGGCAACCATTTTTTCACCCAAAAAATAGTATCGTTGTATTTTTCATTCCCCTAAACCTTTTTATACCACTTTTCAACATACTATATTTTCCAGGCCATAAACCACACTGGTATGTAAGCCGCAGAGCCAATTTTTTTCAATTTGATCCACATATTAGCTTCATAGGAATATAAGTTGCACCCTTTCTAACAATGTGGTAACTGTTATGTTTGTTGATTTAACAGACAACGAAGGCAATTTATCAAAATCTTCAGTTAAACATTTAATATAAAATTGCAAATTAATTATACAGATAATCCAATGCAACCACAAAGTTCAAAAGATATTATTGATTAATGTTATTTTTTATCTAAAATTAATCCTGTATACAGTTGCAAATGTTCTAGACAATCTGTTTCAGTCACAAACAAGTGATAGACAGGTGCTCATCAAAAACTGACATCTCGTACTGGTATCCATGGTTTAAATCACTATTTTTTATTCTTTCTGGAAGCGTGACATGTTACAGTAACCCAAATTATCAGGATGTCAGGTCACGCAGGTCAATAGTGTATGTGAAATGCCTCAACGAAATAGCTGTTCCGAAAAATATAACCTTCAGGAACTGATATCCAGACGATACACTTTTTTCATTCTGTCAATTTTTTTCCATCAACACGCCTGACCGCAGTTGCTGTTTATAATCCAGAAAATATGGTAATCTGATAACTTAATTTTGACCAATCAGAAGTCCTCAATGTATCGCAACAGTTTAGGAACACTTTTTATGTCAACTTATAGACTATAATTAGCTGTAGCACTTGATAAAGTTTAATTAAAATAAATTCAAAGGCTAAGAGTTATGGTGCTTTCTATGAAAACTTGTCTAAGAATATCATGAAACATCTATGAATTTCATATAAATAGTGAGGATTGTAAAGTTTGCTTCCTCAGTAAAAAAATCTGGGCTAGAATTTTGTAAAAATGACAATTTCCGAAAATTTCGAATATTGATAAAACATCACAAAATTAAGATTCGACTCATCTTTAATTCCTGGGGTTACAGTGATGCTGGTGGGGCATGGCTAAGAACTATTTCCGGGTCCCTAATGGGCGCCAGTGTAACAGAGATCATTATTTATTTCAATGCCACCGCTAGGAATCAAACCCAGGACCCCTGGCTTACTAGTTACTCTCAACCAATTGAGCTAAAGGGAAGTTCTCTCTAGCCGAGTGGTATATTGCGGCTAGTATTTTACCAGGGTTACACAAACAAGATTGAATTGAAGTCCACTAAGAATGCCACTGCTTTTACACTTTATCACCCATATAATTGATCAATAAATCTAAAAATCTAAAATCTGATTAAATAGGAGATAAATTTTAAAATCTTTCCAATTCTTACCTTCTTTTTCTTGGGTTCTTTCTGTAGTGTTGCAGAAGCAACTTGTGCAAGGACATCCAAAGACATGCACCCGGAGGGGTCACTCGCATCCTCATCTTCATCTGTTCTAAGTGATGATCGTCTAGTTCTTAAACCATGAGGTGACCCTGAGTACAAAAAAGAAAAGTTGACATCTTTTCATGTCAGACAACTGAAAATCTGTTTAATGTCACAATATTTAATCCTAATGCTACTAATCTGATCAAAATTATTCAAAGTTCAATTCATGCATTTTACAGTAAGTTTCGAAGATTTTTTTTCCATGTGACTTCAGAACATCGTTTCCAAAGTTTTGATGAATCCCATTAGTAAAAGATGTAGTGGGTTCTGAAAATTAAAGTAAGTATACCACAGGAATATCACGAGTCCAGGACTCAAATACCAGTCTAAAAAAATCACTGACTATTCAACCTGACACATACACAAAGAAAATTTAAGAATCATTTGTTTTGTTCTAAATTTCCCTTCCTGATTCAAACTAATTCCGGAATTTTGTGGGGAAAAAATGTCATCAATATATGAATTTTAATCAAAAAGTACTCAAAAATGATAATGAAAAATATAGACAGAAATCACGGCATTTCAGGTAAAATATTCAACCTTTTAAGCAAAGACAATACAGTGAAATCATTATGTAAATACTGATTCTGATTATCTATTTCCCGCGAACCTTTCAAACGTAAAGGTGCGATATTTATAGGACATCGACCGGTTTACAGTTTACAAAAATAAGAGCTGCAAATGTGCGACGAATTATCAAGTCAATTAAAACCACATATAACGCATGATTAAGCTTATAAAAAATCAGTAACATATTTAACAGTTCATAATTAAATAAATATCTTTTCACATTGGCTTTAAAAGAACCACGGAAAGTCGAAATCTGAAAGCAGACAACATTGCCGAGTTTCTTTGCCGCCATATTGGTAGCGTCTGCCATGCATTTTCGTCTGGCAAACTGGTTTTAAAACGTGGATTTCTAAAAATGTCATTTCGAATTTCAGTCTAACCACTGTAATTGATTATATTAACTATCCTTACAATGAAATACAATGTTGAAATGAAGCGTTATGTTCTCGCTAACGTACAAAAAGTTACAATTTGCAACAATGTATGAAAATGTTTACAGATTTAGCAGCCGACGCAGACCAATCATTGATAAGTACCTATCTGAATGATCAACAACATTGCCTTCCACATATCCAGAAACATTTCAATATCGATTCCGACACAATATGTTAAATACCTTTCGTTACTTTCTCCTTCGACTCTTTTTTCGAAGTTTGTAAATGCTGTCGGGCTGTCGCCATTTTCGAGCACCTTGCTACTCGTCTGCTATCATATTTATTTACCGCATTCCCAACTGTCCGCTCAGTTTACTCTTTAAATTATTCCGTCCTTTTATTTCGTTTTGAATATTAAGAAATAGCTGGAACACTCTATGAAACTTTATATGTAAGTCGATTATATTTCCCTTCATGAAGTGACTTAGGTTTTTGTTTTCAATAACCACGATATTCACATGGGTTATTGATAACAAGGTAGAAACTACACATATTGTTTAAATGCGAGAAAAACCTTACGTTTAAATTTTATTCTGATTATACAAAACTCAATACTGAATTGCTTAAGTTACAATACCATGTAATATTGAAATTTTGACTTAATATTATTATTTTGAAAAATTCGTCTGCATGAAGTCACGTGATAACCTTTTATTTCTCTTAATGTCAAAATGGCGACAAAACAAGAATAGTTCCAAGTAGTCTGATAAAAATAGTAGCAGACGAAGAGAGGAGAGCTTACGTTCAGTTAAATAGTAAGTACACATTTCCTGTGTGTTCATTTGAACTGGTGTATATCATTGTCTTTTTTGTATCAAATTTGAATTTATCATTTGTTAAAAGAATCTTTTCAGTTTAGCATGTCTGCTCATCACTATGATCAGCAGCCAGTGTGTGCTCTGCAGCCGGATTACAAAGATGACATTAAGGATGACTATATGGTCTTACTTCGATGTCTTTACATTGAAATAATTAGAAATGAAGAAATTGTCAAACTCAAATGGATTGGATTATTTTTTAATAACTTTTCTTCAAGTTACAGATGCTGCTTTAACACTACAAGGATCCAATCCTTAGAGTTTTTATTCCTATTTTGTGTTGTGTACCTATCTAAATACTGAGATTTCACTCCGTGTCCATATTCACGTGCTCATATTCTTTTGATAAAAAGTAAAAAAAAAAAAGAAAACAAATAGGTGAATATGCACTGCTTAAAGCAAAAGCATAATAGACAAAGTATAGACAACAATGACTAAAGTTTAAAACAACAATTTACAATGTAACAGAAATGGAGTTATGTACATCTGTCGGGCCTGGCTTCATAATCCGCTACTCTGCTGATCAAACTAAAGGGGAATTCCCTTTAGCCTAAAGCAATAAAACAGTTGTGTCTATGTTCAGTTAAAACCTGCCACACTAGTACATTTCCTCATTTCTAATATGTTTGTCCCCATAAACTCACATCATCAACTCAGAGCCAGGTTCAATAGCTCTGATGAAGCCTCTCATTCCCTTCTAGCTTGTGCTTGAAGTGGTTTGCGACACTAAAATGTCACAAGAAAGTAATGCTTAGCCAGAGATCAAACCAGCAACCCTAGGGTTACAAGTCCGCCAATCTACTCAGAATGAACTCAAGGGAACTTCACTCTAGCACAAAGCTTTCAAGTGACCATGTCTATGCACAATTAAAATCTATTGAAATGGTATGAAACAACAACAATCATCAAAAAACCAAATATAGATGACTAATTGTGTTCTAAACATAATTACTTTCGTGAAATTTGATATAATTATCCAACCAATGTTGCCATTTCCGATCTTTTATAAAATAGAACATAAAAGATGACTCTAAGGAGTGGCTTATTGCAAGACATTGAAATTGCATTTGCTTGTGATTGTACTGAACAATAATAGATGTGGATTGGCCTTAGCTATTGCAAGGCATGGGCTTACTATCAGACATTGTAGAAATATTAATAAAATATGTATTCTATGTTGTTAAGTAAATTACAAGCTAATGCTTAATATCATTTTAATAGGAATTATCACTGTTGCAGAGGAGTTATTTCCCTTCTATGAATCTTTCATTTTGTGCCAGAGTAAAAAAGGCATATATCTCTACAATATACCACAAAATTTGAAGGAAAAACAGTTTAGTGTAACAGTTGCAGTTGTGTCTAAATGAGGAAAAATATTACTTTTTATCTATCTTTTCCAACTTCAATATATGTTCTCATAATGAACAATATCTTATTACAGTAAGACTGTAAAGTTCAAACTATGTATAATACTAACTCATCTTGGAGAAAAACTTTATCAAATGTTCATCACTTTGTTGTTTTTCTAAAGTCTTCCTTGATAAGTTATCTGATCTTCAATTTAAATATCCAGTTATAGAAACTTTTCCTTCTAAACTACAGTACATTTGAAGAAAATATTGTAAAGTTGAGATCATAAAGCTTTACCAACCAGTAGTGTCTGAAAGTCGTGGCCATGCATGACTGTCCCCATTGTTACATCTAAATTTGCCACCATTTCAAAAGAGTTCTTATTAAATTCATCTTATTAACTACTGTTTTTCCTTTCAATGAGTTGGATCTGACTCTGGAAATATTTCACAATAAGTAGGAAAAATGTTCATTACTTGATTGGTCAAATTGTATTAATTTACCTATCAAACGACTATTAGAAGAATAATAACTTGAGAATAAATACAAAAATATAAAACACTGTGTTGTTCAAGTTCCTTGTTAATATTCTAAAAATTCTTTGTGTAACAATTGTGAAAAGTAATTGATATTCCCCAACTCTAAATGATTCACACAACTGAAGTGCACATTTGCCTTGCACTTGATTATTTCAGTAGATTCAAGATATGTCAAGTGTGTTATGTTATGAATGTGTACAACGCACTCCTATAATAATATGATAATATATAATAATATTGTGCCATATCACTTAATACTTTCTCTGGCTCTTAAAACAGAAAATTCCAAAGGATTAATAAACAGGATTTTTTCCCTGTAAATTGTTTTCCTGTTCATTGGTGATAAAATAGGAAAGACATGATTTACATATTTCACAATAAAATCAATAACTTCCATGATATTTTCAGTTATGTCTTCTTGTAGCAAAGGAATCTAAATGTGGGTGTTAGTTTGGTAACTTTATCGTCCCAGGTTAACAGCCAAGATCATGTTAAATTTAGAGTCTCCTTTGTAGTTAATGGTGGCTACCTGACTGAACAACATTCAGAAGGCCCATTGCATGCCATCCAGAGTTTCTTGCAACAAATACGTTTCATTTCCCTAGTTAAATTAATCAAATCATATGGTTTAAACAAAAAACTGAAAAATCTCCATGATAGATGGAAAAGTTACAAATCAGTTAATTTGAAGATAAACCTTATATATTCAACAAAAATACATGTATGTTTATATAGCTTTGATAAATTATGTAGAAAACAAAGACTCAAGTTGTCCTTCACAGTTTACTGTTGGTGTCATTCCAAATTAAAAGTCAATCAAAAGGTTTCAAACAGAATGCAATTATAACTAAAAAATAAGTTTTATTGTCAATTTAATGAAAATTCAAGATATGTATGTTAATTGATAAACTCACAGAAATTTGTAGCAAATTTTTTGGAATAAAAAAATTGCAAGGTTAGAAATTTGAAATAGATATGTGAAGAATGTCTTATATACCGATATATATATAATTATCTTTTATGCATGACTTTAATTTTCTATGTGCAAATGTAATCGCCAGTTTAAGAATAAGTGTTAGCACTAATGAAATATTTGTACGAAGTGTATGTAAATTTTATATGTGTATATATATGATGTTACAGACTGAGGAATATGTGAGGTATATACGTTTAGTTGAGGCCACACAAAGTTAATTTGTTAATATTCAGTAAAACTGATTGATCTGAACATGAAAATTCCCTTTTTTTTCAAAGAGAAACAGTGTTTCAATTATTTCAGATGATTTTACTTTTGTTTTGTTTCCTGATTAATAATAATTCTAAAAATATATTATCTTACATAATTTCATTTTTTTTTTTTGTTTCAGAGAAAAAAGCTATTTTGATTCTGTGCAAATTATTAGAAGATATACACAAGAAATGAATATATATTCTTTTATATCAGTCATGTGTTTTACATAAAAATATCTTGACAAACAAAATGATTTGATGTGGCCTGAAAAAGATGTGTTTTGGGTTTATTTCAAGTGTTTAAGCTAACCACATCCGTGACTTATATATAGGGAAATAGTTGTACTTACATTGAATTAAAACTTATATATGAAGGTATGTGTCTTTAGACTATGATATAATGTACATACTGGTATGTATACAGAGCTGAAATTTACAATTTTAAATTGATGTTTTTTTTAGTTTTTTCAAATACATTTATACCTGTACATGTATCAAAATGATCATTATTTTTACTACAGTATCTGACTTATGTTACAGTGTATTTGTACAGATTGCGGATGTTGATTGATGAAGTCTGAATGCTATTTATAAATTGTGCCAGCTTAAAACATCACCATTTTCTGTTGACAGCTATGTGGTACAGCTGTACTCCAACTCTGACCGAAATTTACTGGGTTTTTTTTTATACATTTAGATGTATTATTGATTGTTAATTTTACTAGTCCATATGTCATTAATACCATCTTTATTCATACATATTTTATAAATGTAGAGTTAAATCTAGATTTTTTTTTTCTACAGGCTAATGTGTTGACCAGGATGAGTGAGACTGATCAGCTGTATTCATACACATTTTTAAATTTGGACTGAAGTCTAGAATTTTTTATTTTCTGCAGGCTGGTGTGTTGACCAGGATGAGCGAGACTGACCTCTGTCCAGAACTAGACTGACTACTATAAATATGAGTGTGTGGAAGAGACTGCAGCGGGTCGGGAAATCCGCATCAAAATACCAGTTCACAACTTCCTACCAGGAACTGGAGGTTGAGTGTACCAAAAAATGGTTAGTACTTGACCGGTGTGTTATACCAATATGTTCAACAGGTTATACTGAGATTTTTGGTAAAAAGAAATCAGATTAGGGCTAGTCTGATCAATGATCTTTGGCTATCTACTATCTGTACATGTGTAAGACTTGATCAGGTCACTTCTGTTATGAAAGATGAATTTTTCTTCCTTTTAAGCAAAACAGCAAAAATTACATATAATTCAGAAAAATGAAAACAGTCATACTGGAATGGTGGAATTGTAAAAAGTATATAAAGACATGATAATTCTTGAAGGAAACCTATAAAAATAATTATATTCCAACTCAAATTTTTATTTTTCCCCTATTTTCTTTATGAAGAATGTTGGGTAAGTAAGTTGGATGATTAATTGATTAAAAATGCTGGATTTATTCCTGTATAAATATTCTGGACATCATTGCAATATTTTGTGTTCAGGCAACCCAACAAATTGTGTGTGGTGTGGACGAGGAGGAGTCGACGGAAATCTACACAGGTATGTTGGTCAAAAAAATCATCAACCACACTGATCTATGTGGGAGTCCTGTACTTATATAGAATTTCTGGAGATACTTGAATTTTACCTTGTGGAACCCCAGAGTCCTAAAAATCACTATGCAAAAATGAACAGTTTTGTGCATAATATGATAAAAATAGCCCTGAACAAATGCTTCTCTTTTTCAGCAGGAGAATCCATTAATTTCATTTCAGAATTAAATACTATTAATTATTATTTCCCTATATTATTGAATATTTCATTTAACAGAAAACTGAAAACTTTTGTTCACTTATCCTATATCACACCACCTAATACTCTCTGGAATTAGAACTTGTCATTATAAACTCGTACACCTTTTTTTAGCCTCACACCTGGGAACCAACGATTCAGAACCCATACAGAGGCCTGGTAACATGGACAGTGCCAGAAAATGTGGAGATACAGGTCACACTGTTTCGTGATCACAATCATCCAGACTTTGAGGACAAGGAATGGGTGTTTGCTATTGAAGATGTGAGAATATCGTATATTTATTGACTTTGAGGGAAGATGTGAGAATATCGTATATTTATTGACTTTAAGGGAGAAATATTTCAAGAACTGCAAACCTAAACCATGTCTAGATCTTCATGTTAACAAATCTAATTTTACTAAAAAAAGAAATTTATTTTCATTGGGGTTTGTGGACGTTTGATTTCATGAATCTTATCTTCATTTTAACGTTTTGTGGATGTATGAAAAGGTGGATTAAGAGTACCATCAAATCAACAAAACTTCATTATCTAACGGTATCCCTCCTGTATTTAATGAGTTATACTATATAATTGACCTCATGGGTATTCTACACAGTCCTATGTCCAGTAAGTAGGAGTTTATTTACTGTGTGATACAGGTGATATCTGGATACATTTTAATTAAATTGTTTTAAGGTAGGATTTTTCATACATGTATATAATTTTACTTGTACTCCTGAACATTTTGTAAAGGTAGATATTTTTTTATATGTTACCAGATTGTTTGATTGACCAAATAGAACTTTTCATATTTTGATGTTGTCAGTACTCACGCGGAGGTAGAAGGAAGATACTTGCCACTGCACCAATCAATATGAAGGACTTTGCGACTCAAGTTCCAACCCAGCATACGATGAAACTCAAGCTGAAGCCCATCACAAGAAAGATTGTATCAGCTTCCATACAGTTTACTCTGTCTTGTGTGTTTCTACGGGAGGGGAAAGCCACGTAAGTGTAGAGTTCACTGTCTTGTGTGTTTCTACGTGAGGGGAAAGCCACGTAAGTGTAGAGTTCACTGTCTCATGTTTCTACGGGAGAGGAAAGCCACGTAAGTGTAGAGTTCACTGTCTTGTGTGTTTCTGCAGGAGGGGAAGGCCACATAAGTGTAGAGTTCACTGTCTTGTGCGTTTCTACAGGAGGGGAAATCCACGTAAGTGTAGAGTTCACTGTCTTGTGTGTTTTTACAGGAAGGGAAATCCACGTAAGTGTAGAGTTCACTGTCTTGTGTGTTTCTATGGGAGGGGAAAGCCACGTAATGTAGAGTTCATTGTCTTGTGTGTTTCTACAGGAGGGGAAAGTTACGTAAGCGTAGAGTTCACTGTCTTGTGTGTTTCTACAGGAGGGGAAATCCACGTAATGTAGAGTTCATTGTCTTGTGTGTTTCTACAGGAGGGGAAAGCCACATAAGTGATGTAAGTAAAGAGCTCATTGTCTTGTGTGTTTCTACGGGAAGGGAAATTACGTAAGCGTAGAGTTCACTGTCTTGTGTGTTTCTACAGGAGGTGAAAGTTATGTAAGTGTAGAGTTCACTGTCTTGTGCGTTTCTACAGGAGGGGAAATCCATGTAAGTGTAGAGTTCACTGTCTCGTGTGTTTCTACAGGCGGGAAAAAATATGTAAGTGTAGAGTTCACTGTCCTGTGTGTTTCTATTGGAAGGGAAATCCATGTAATGTAGAGTTCATTGTCTTGTGTGTTTCTACGGGAGGAGAAAGTTTCGTAAGCGTAGAGTTCACTGTCTTGTGTGTTTCTATGGGGAGGGAAATCCACGTAAATGATGTAAGTGAAGAGCTCATTGTCTTGTGTGTTTCTACGGGAGAGGAAAATTACGTAAGCGTAGAGTTCACTGTCTTGTGTGTTTCTACAGGAGGGGAAATTCACGTAATGTAGAGTTCATTGTCTTGTGTGTTTCTACAGGAGGGGAAATCCACGTAATGTAGAGTTCATTGTCTTGTGTGTTTCTACAGGAGGGGAAAGCCACGTAAGTGAAGAGCTCATTGTCTTGTGTGTTTCTACAGGAGGGGAAATCCACGTAAGTGATGTAAGTGAAGAGCTCATTGTCTTGTGTGTTTCTACGGGAGGGGAAAATTACGTAAGCGTAGAGTTCACTGTCTTGTGTGTTTCTATGGGAGGGGAAAGTTATGTAAGTGTAGAGTTCACTGTCTTGTGTGTTTCTACAGGAGGGGAAAGTTATGTAAGCATAGAGTTCACTGTTTCGTGTTTCTACAGGAGGGGAAAGTTAGGTAAGCATAGAGTTCACTGTTTCGTGTTTCTACAGGAGGGGAAAGTTATGTAAGCATAGAGTTCACTGTTTCGTGTTTCTACAGGAGGGGAAAATTACGTAAGCGTAGAGTTCACTGTCTTGTGTGTTTCTATGGGAGGGGAAAGTTATGTAAGTGTAGAGTTCACTGTCTTGTGTGTTTCTACAGGAGGGGAAAGTTATGTAAGCATAGAGTTCACTGTTTCGTGTTTCTACAGGAGGGGAAAGTTATGTAAGCATAGAGTTCACTGTTTCGTGTTTCTACAGGAGGGGAAAATTACGTAAGCGTAGAGTTCACTGTCTTGTGTGTTTCTATGGGAGGGGAAAGTTATGTAAGTGTAGAGTTCACTGTCTTGTGTGTTTCTACAGGAGGGGAAAGTTATGTAAGCATAGAGTTCACTGTTTCGTGTTTCTACAGGAGGGGAAAGTTACGTAAGCGTAGAGTTCACTGTCTTGTGTGTTTGTACATGAGGGGAAAGCCACGTAAGTAAAGAGCTCATTGTCTGGTGTGTTTCTACAGGAGGGGAAAGCCACGTAAGTGATGTAAGTGAAGAGCTCATTGTCTTGTGTGTTTCTATGGGAGGGGAAAATTACGTAAGCATAGAGTTCACTGTCTTGTGTGTTTCTACAGGAGGGGAAAATTACGTAAGCGTAGAGTTCACTGTCTTGTGTGTTTCTACGGAAGGGGAAAATTACGTAAGCGTAGAGTTCACTGTCTTTTGTGTTTCTACAGGAGGGGAAAGCCACATAAGTGATGTAAGTGAAGAGCTCATTGTCTTGTGTGTTTCTACGGGAGAGGAAAATTACGTAAGCGTAGAGTTAATTGTCTTGTGGGTTTCTACAGGAGGGGAAAGTTGTGTAAGCGTAGAGTTCACTGTCTTTTGTGTTTCTACAGGAGGGGAAAGCCACGTAAGTGATGTAAGTGAAGAGCTCATTGTCTTGTGTGTTTCTACGGGAGGGGAACGTAAGTGTAGAGTTCACTGTCTTGTGTGTTTCTACAGGAGGGGAAAAATTCGTAATGTAGAGTTCACTGTCTTGTGTGTTTCTACAGGAGGGGAAAGTTACGGAAGTGATGTAAGTGAAGAGCTCCTTGTCTTGTCAGTTATTACAAGATTGTTTGCCATAGATTTTGATTCTGATGTGCTAGTCAGGGCACAAGTAAAAAAGTTGCTGGTCCTTACTCTTTTGTGTTTCTGTGTCCAAATATCTAAAAATAAAACACAATATACAATGATATATATTGATTTGAAGGTTTATGCTTTGTTAAATAATTGGTTGTAAGAAAACAATCTGCATTCACCAAGTAGACATCAACATATGTTGACATGTTTGCGATAATTTTTCCCCATTCAGAGACGAGGACATGCAGAGTGTGGCCAGTATGCTGAGTATTGGTCGATCAGATATTGGTAATCTGGAGGAACTTGAAGATGAAGATGTCGAAGAGAAAAGCTTCTCCTCAAAAATATCGGAGATAACGTCAGAATTGTCTAAACTCGACGACATGGATGACGGTAATCCGTTTGATGAGGAATATAGTAATCCCTTTTACTCCGACTCCAATCCTTTTGGTGACCCTGATCTGGAGTGTACTGGTGATCATGAAGCATGGTTTGGTATTTCTTCAGTTTCTTTTTTTGTTTGTTTTTGTTTATCCATTAATACTTGACAGTTCTAGTCAAATGTGACAGGTCCGAAACGTTTAAAGTCTGCTATAACCATATACTGACAGTAGGACTTCACTATCAGAAACAGCTTATGTCAATTTATTACAACAGCTGTGCATGCCCACTTCAAAGAAGTGTGTATTGTGATGTCCTTGTAACTATCTTGAATACTTCTATATAAAAAAAGGTTTTATGTAAACACTAAACTTAATTGGTGTGGAAATGTAATGTTATCCAATTTGGTCATGTCTGTTGAAACAATTGTTTTCATGTATTTACAAGTGACAGGTATAATTTGTTTGCTATACTAAAAGTATTGGTGAATTCTTTCTGGAACTGTCGGGTTTTAATGGTCAAAACATTTTATTATTATTTTAATATTAAGAAGATTGCATTTTGTTTTCTTCCCAATGTTAACTTTGTTTTGATTAAGTTTTTGTTTAAATCAACATTATATTTGTGATGTCCAGCTTCCACACTAGCATCCAAGATTGATAAGTAGTATGTGATGGTCATCAGAGAATGGTTGGCTGGTTACAGATGTTCCGTCTCAGTGACTCCTCCAATCTCTAGGCATTGTCTTAACAACAAATATCAGTGTTCTGGTTGGCTGGTTACAGATGTTCCGTCTCAGTGACTCCTCCTCTATGCATTGTTTTAACAACAAATATCAGTGTTCTGGTTGGCTGGTTACAGGTGTTCTGTCTCAGTGACTCCTCCAATCTCTAGGCATTGTCTTAACAACAAATATCAGTGTTCTGGTTGGCTGGTTACAGATGTTCCGTCTCATTGACTCCTCCAATCTCTAGGCATTGTCTTAACAACAAATATCAGTGTTCTGGTTGGCTGGTTACAGATGTTCTGTCTCAGTGACTCCTCCAATCTCTAGGCATTATCTCAACAACAAATATCAGTGTTCTGGTTGGCTGGTTACAGATGTTCCGTCTCATTGACTCCTCCAATCTCTAGGCATTGTCTCAACCACAAATATCAGTGGTCTTGTTGGCTGGTTACACATGTTCCGTCTCAGTGACTCCTCCAATTTCTAGGTATTGTCTCAACAACAAATATCAGTGTTCTGGTTGGCTGGTTACAGATGTTCCGTCCTAGTGACCTCTCCTATCACTAGGCATTATCTCAACCACAAATATCAGTGGTCTTGTTGGCTGGTTACACATGTTCCGTCTCAGTGACTCCTCCAATTTCTAGGTATTGTCTCAACAACAAATATCAGTGTTCTGGTTGGCTGGTTACAGATGTTCCATCTCACTGACTGCTCCAATCTCAAGGCATTGTCTCAACAACAAATATCAGTGTTCTGGTTGGCTGGTTACAGATGTTCCATCTCACTGACTGCTCCAATCTCAAGGCATTGTCTCAACAACAAATATCAGTGTTCTGGCAATGTGAGGCTTATTACAGCTTATTACCTCCATGGATACCAACCTGTATGTGGGGCGATTGAAGAATAGGGAATAAGTAGAAAAAGATTTTGTAATTGATTTACTTTGTGTGAATTGATTCTGAAAATAATGCAGAAATTTGTATTAAGGTACTATACAATAATTATTTTTCTGTCCTGATTTTCTCAAGAAATGCCCTCTTGATGCAGACAAGGGAAGGAATGTGTATTGTGGTTAGTTTAACCTTCTCCCATTATATATATATATATTTTTTTTTATTTCATGCATGTGTTCATTTTAAATATTTCCAGAGTTTGTTTGTTTTATGTTTATACTATACCAGACTCATGTCACCTAGAACACAGAAAAAAAAGGAAACAGAATTAATTAAAAAATAAAGTTGAAGCTGAAACTCCACCTCAATTACACTACCATCAAATAAAAAATTTATGTTGAACTGTCCTTATACAACCTTACGTACAAGACTGCCATCAATGTCTGTGCTGGTATGAGGTATATTGTAATTTCTACAGCCTACTTTGAAGATTAACTTAGTTATCTCCCTTCACCAACAAACTAGAAAAATATAAGTTATAATAGAGTTATTGTCCTTACCTGTATAGACGAATGCTGATCTCTTTTTATCTTCCTTTGTTTTCCATAATAAATATAAATATAAACTTTATTTATTTTACAACAATTGCCAAACAAGTAATTTCATCTTATACTAATCACTCTTGTTGGCCCGGATGGAATCACGCAAGAGGTCTTATTGTGAGAGGAAACTGGAGTACCTGGGGAAGACCCATATGGTCGGGCAGGTGACCCCTTACCTTTTCACATCTGTTCCGGGAATCGAACCCCGGACGGCTAGGTGAAAGGCGAGTGCGTTATCAGGATTAGAGAAAATATTAGTGAAGTTTTACAAACTGCAGTAATTGTAGACAGCATTGAATTAATGTGTACCTGTCGTATCCCTTTTTTAGAACCTGTAAAGAAAAAGCCTGCGAAGAAGGAGAGTCTGAATCCGTTTGAGGATAGCGGCAGTTCAGAAGGTGTAGACAGTAAGGCTGGCAGTACAGAGGGAGTAGATCAAAGCAGCAGCAGTAAATTGGGCAGTAGTACTGCTCCAAGTAAATCTAGCAGTTTAGATTACAATCCATTTGATGAACCTACCCCTCCTGATAGAGCCATGACCAGCCCACTCTCAGAGAGGCTTGTAAACGATGCACAGAAACACAGTCAACAAAGTACACCACAGAAATTCAATACACTGCCATCAAAAACAAAACAGAGAGCCCCCGCTCCACCTGTTCCACATAATGGTGACTCCTCCCCAAAACACAAACCTCAGGCAAAGTTAAAGACTTCCAGGTCGGAACACTCAGCTATAGAGAGACCAATATACGAAGGTACACCACCATCTACACCGGAAACAAAGCGCAAACTCCTGCGACCTATAACCCCGCCTCCTGAAGGTCAACAAGATTCCATGGAGACTTCCACAGAATTCTCCTCCACAGCATCAAGCCCTAGTAAACGGTAAAATTTTACTTAAACTCTTTAAAACCAACTCCAATACCAAGCAATTCATGTCAGGGATTGCAGTTGGGTTTTTTTTTTTTTTTTTTTAACTTTTTTTTTTAATTTTTAAATAGGTTCTTTGCAGCAAGACATACATTTTTTTTAATTTGATTTGTCAAAAGTGCTGTGAATTTTTAATTTATATTGTGGTGTGGTGTTCACCATAAGTCATACTGTCTTAAATACTACTTCACTTTAAACCCAATTAAGAGCCAAGCGGTTCATGTTAGGGATTGCAGGTTTTATTATTATTTTTTCTTTTGATTCTTTGGAGTGAGGCCTGTTTTAATTTATTGAAATTTAACTGGCCAAAAATGCAGAGAATTTTTTCTGTAGTTAGGTGTTCAGCATCAATCATGCTGTCTCTTAAATACTGGTCCACGACAGCGGAATAAAATATTGAATCAGTTAGGAAAAGTGACTATTGTAGGATCATAAAATCTTACAACAAAAGTTTTCAATTTTACATTTTTATTGTTTTTATATATAGGTTGTCTTCTGAATGTTCTCCAGTAAAAGGTGAAAACAGAAATGTATTGGAAGCCTTGGACCTCAATCAGGTAAAACTACTCAACACATCTAGTATGGTTAGTGTCCAGCTGGCTTTCTGAGTTACCTATATTTATCCAGGTCAACAGACTACTGTAGTTGTTTCTCTACATCACTACATCAATGGATGTAGATAGGCTTATTGATGGCCATTCTTTCACTGCTACATAAATACATTAAACATTTTTATATATTTTGTCACAAAAAAAAGTTAACCATGAGACAAGATATTGTTTACCTGAAAAAATCATTTGTTTGTTATTTTATGATATTTGTGGGCTTATTACCAGGCTTGGGCTTTGTTCTTGATAAATAATTATATTTAATCTAGAAATCTAGAAATGAATAACAGACGATAGATAACATTTAATAATAACATTTCATATCTTGAAATTGTGTGATGTTTTTGAAGTCAAGTTATCCAATTATCTTACTGATACAAATGTATCATTGGTTCTAATTCCATTACCTATGATCAGATTTCTGATTAACAAGGAATCACAAAGTTTGTATTTACTCAGTAAATCTAAGGCTTGACCAGAATCTGACATTCAAAAATCTTAATCTAAAGGTTGATATTTTTTTAATTTTCGCTGATATTAAACTTTTTCCAAAATTTTGTTTGATGTGCTTAACTTCTATTGGAGTTGAATTAAAGATGAATTATCTATTTTTAGAATGAATCTCCAACACACAACAGTAATAGCTCAAGTCAGAATCTACTGGACTGGTGTAAAGAGGTCACTAAAGGTTACAAGGGGGTCAAGGTCACCAACTTAACAACATCCTGGAGGAATGGGATGGCTTTCTGTGCAATAGTTCATCATTTTAGACCTGATCTTGTGTGAGTGTATCACAAAAATCTGCCATTGAATTCTTGTTTTTCATTAGTTTCTCATTTTCACTATTTTCGCCATGAGATTAAATAGTAAATCTTAATTGAGGAAGATTTACATGAAATGCATTTAGCTCTTGCTCTTCAATGTTGGAAAAGAAAAAAACATATTTCACCAAATTGTGAAATTTTTGCCTGGTGAAAAAATGTCTGTATAAGGTACTGTATTGTATTCATATATGATTTTGAGTACAGTGATTTAATATAATTCTTGAACTAAACACCATGTTTTCATGACCTCAAATCCTTTCTAAGGTCTAAAACTCTCAAATATTGGACCTATAATCCTATACCTACAAGAACATAAAAGCTTCAAAATGTTTGTCATTATAAAAGTCACAATACAGTAAAACACACAATACAGTAAAACTCACAATACAAACACACAATACAGTAAAACAATACAGTAAAACACACAATACAGTAAAACTCACAATACAAACACACAATACAGTAAAACAATACAGTAAAACACACATTACAGTAAAACTCACAATACAGTAAAACTCACAATACAAACACACAATACAGTAAAACAATACAGTAAAACATACAATACAGTAAAACTCACAATACAGTAAAACACACAATACAGTAAAACAATACAGTAAAACAAACAATACAGTAAAACACACAATACAGTAAAACACACAATACAGTAAAACATACAGTAAAACATACAATACAGTAAAACACACAATACAATAAAACACACAATACAAACACACAATACAGTAAAACAATACAGTAAAACACACAATACAGTAAAACTCACAATACAGTAAAACACACAATACAGTAAAACTCACAATACAGTAAAACTCACAATACAGTAAAACACACAATACAGTAAAACATACAATACAGTAAAACACACAATACAGTAAAACTCACAATACAAACACACAATACAGTAAAACTCACAATACAAACACACAATACAGTAAAACATACAATACAGTAAAACTCACAATACAGTAAAACACACATTACAGTAAAACACACAATACAGTAAAACTCACAATACAGTAAAACACACAATACAGTAAAACAATACAGTAAAACATACAATACAGTAAAACACACAATACAATAAAACACACAATACAAACACACAATACAGTAAAACATACAATACAGTAAAACACACAATACAATAAAACACACAATACAAACACACAATACAAACACACAATACAGTAAAACAATACAGTAAAACACACAATACAGTAAAACTCACAATACAGTAAAACACACATTACAGTAAAACTCACAATACAGTAAAACTCACAATACTGTAAATCTTGTGTCAAACGCACTTGAATCAAACACATCGAATATGTCAAATGTTTCGTTCTGTCCCAATTTTCCCTCTTCTTTATCTTAGTAAATTAAACACAGATGAGTTGAATACTGGGTTAGTGTCAAATATATTTTGTGATCCAGCCCTTTTAAATTCTACCAAAATGTCCTTTTTTGTGTCAAACATTCAGTGTTTTAGTGTTTCCATCATCTATGACTTCCTGAAGTTTTTAAACTATAATGAAAAAACCTTAACTAACAGTCTCTATACCATCCATCAGTTACAGTCTGGTTAGAGTGTAGACACAAGGTTGATTTTTATATTGATGGTAATTATTTACATTTAAAATTTTTACAGGAACTTCAAGTCTTTGGCCTCTCATGACATCAAAGGCAACAATAAGATTGTAAGTATTCTAAATCTTGTTCAGCTTTAATACATATAACTCCAACATATTTAAGAACGAAAAAAAAACAGAAAAATATACATTCAAATTTTCAGACAGGATTATTGATGCATGACATTCTTTAAATCTTTCGAAGGGTGTGATTTACATGTAAGTTAATTAGGAAAGATAACCACAAAAGTTTTAATAATTTAAAGAAATAATTTAGATACAGGAGTTTCAGAAAATTTCTGTTTCTGTTTCTCATTTCTGGACAATTTTAATTAGCAGTGTGTATTACATGTGTTATACTGATTGATCTCTGTCTCAGTAATAAGCATCAACTCTGCATGGTAGTAAGTATAATGTGTAAGATTTCATCAGGTGTTTGTCTTTCATCACAGGCATTTGATGCTACTGCCAAACTTGGAATTCCACGTGTGATAGAACCCTCAGACATGGTGCTACTCCAGGTCCCCGACAAGCTTGCTGTGATGACTTACCTTCACCAGTTACGTGTCTATTTCACCGGACAAACTCTCGAGATCCAACAAATCGGTGTGAACACTGCTGAGAGTACATACACTCTTGGTGAGATGGATCGGCAAGTTGAAGCCGAGATCTCCAATGAAATGTATGGTGACCGAACCCAGCCGAAGGTTGCTAAACAACGTTCTCCATGCAAGGAGAATATCCCTATTGGGGAAGAAACAGACAATAAAGGTGACACAGTTGATGGTGGAAGACGGAGAAGAATAAGTAAGGAGAAAACTCCGGACACTGAATCTAGTGCTTCCCAGTTAAAAAACAGTAGAGACAGCACACCAGGGACTGATCCTTCAAGTGACTCTGAAAAAGTTGTCAACAAAACAGGACGGAAAAAAGTCTCTGCCACAGAGATAAAAGTGACTAAACACAGTTCTCCTCCTGGTTCTAAACACAGTTCTAAGGAACGTGATTCTAATACATCTAAAGAAGATTCTTCCACAAACAAGAAACCTGTGATGACACGAAAACAGCTCTATAATCCTTTTGATTCTGACACAGATGATGAGGAGATGAGTAGCGAAGGACCTGATGCTGCATCCCTTGCTGGGTCCTCCATACCCACAAGTAACTCAACTAGTCCTTCAGTGAGTGCACACTCCTCTCGAGGGGGCACACCTGCTGAGTCGTAAGTACCTCAATCAATTATCTCCCCTTAGGTAAAGTTAACGTGGGTAAAGGATGTCTGGTGGTTAGTTTTTAAAGTGATTATAAATTGACAATGATTTTATTCAACACTATTATCATGAAATTTGGTGGTGGTGTTTTCAGATGAGTAAGATATATTATACATATGTCTGAATATTTAAAACAAAAATGATGAGTGATGTAGTTTACAAGGTTGATATAATCAGATATAAGTTTTAAGCTATATAAATAATTGCTGTTGTAAATATGAGGTTTACTCACTGTAATGGTAGTATAGATTACCAATGTACTTAAATTTACTGTATGATGTTGGTACTTTAGACAGAGTCTGCTTTCAGGGATATAATACCTATTTGCTTTCTATAAGTACAAACCATACATACCTTACTGTTGTGATACATACTGTACCATGAAATATGTCTTTTATCAGTCATCACTTTGGAAGAAAAGCATTAAATAAGAAAAACACATTTGTAAGCATGCATCTATAGTTATATGATGAATAGAATCTTATATTCCTGTTAATGTAATATTCAGTATAATATTTGTATTCTTAATTTATTATTTTACAAAACTCAGTAAAGGGTCATTTCAAATGAAATTGATCAGCTTGTTCAATCTGAACATTTTGTATATTAATTTGTGAATATTTAAGCATACATTTGTACATAGAAGTGTATGATAGAATTTATACATTATTCTTGTTGGGGATGTTGATGAACAATCTATATTTCAGACATAAAAGTATTGTTGATAAACCGGTGGCTACAAGTACTCCTGATAAGGTTAGTCACTGTCATTCATAGGCTGATGAACCCTGAAATATAGACTGGGAATCATTTATTTGAACTGGCATATTGTTTATCAATAGTAACAAACGAATTCCATAACCTGATGAACTTGAGGTGGTAAGTAATGAATGATTCCTAATTACATTGGTTATCTTTTGGATAAACTTGGCTGATGTTCAGATAATTTGAATTGTGGTGATATATGAACTCAGTTGTAGCAGACAGTAATATCGTTATTTCCATAGGCATTTGAAAAGTAATTTGTAGATAAATTAACATTATAAGTTGTGACTTGCTATTTGTTAATTAATATTTCTATTTGTGCCTTAAACTTGTATTCTTTGGTTAGTTGCTGTGCTGTAAACATGAATGACTGGTAATTTAACAAAAACTCTTGGCATCGGTTTTAGTTAGCAAATCGAAAGTCCCGTCATGAAGAGCTCAAGGAGAGGGCCAAGCTATTACTTGAACAGGCACGGAAGGATGTAGGCCTTGATCTCCCTATACGACCCGTTCAAAAGTCACAAGGATTAGAAACAACAAAGGAAGCTCCAAGATCTCCAGAAAAAGAATCCACACAATCTACACCTTCACCTTCCAGTCCTACACAGGTACCTTTTTAAAGGCCACCATGAAAGTATCACTCTTAGTCTTGCAGATTATACAAGAGTTATTTCCCTTGATTTTGTTTGCTTAACAATCTGCAATGATTCAAATAGAAATCAGTTCTTCTGAGATGCTGAGATGATTCACAAACAGGTATTGAATTATCTCTAAGTATGTAATGTAAAAATCTGAGGAAGGTAGCATATATCCTTAACTTATCAATCTAATATCTGCTTGTAGAGTAGTGAAGAAAAACAGAAGCGGTTAAGAGAGCGAGCAAAGTTATTAATAGAAGAGGCTCGAGCCAGTCTGGACCAAACCAAGTCTATAGAACGACAATCCAGTACAACATCTGATGGGTCATTGGACAGTGATAAAGCATCAGGTATGACTTTAAAGTTGTCTTGTTTTGTTGTTGTCATGGTAACTGATTAAGTGTTGTTAAGATTAGGAGTAGTGATTTTGCATGTATAATGGCTTGTTTCACAAGTTTATTCACATTTTCATTTCTTTGATTTGCTGCACTAAAAGTTCACCAGATTGATTTCAAAAATTAAAAAAGAAAATATTAAGTGAGATGATTCAGTGCTAATTATTAGTTTACCAGGCATTGTTTCAGAGAAACAACCTTTATTTACAAGGTAATATTTGAAAAAGGGTTCTGGTTTTTAATGGAATTATGGAAAGTTCATTTTTAGGGATGACAGAAAGATTTTAGGTTTTTGACATAGATTCCTCAAATGCACATCACTTATGCATCAGCAATATTTCATGTATTGAAAACTTGTGCATGCTTGTGGGCTTGAAATGTTATTTTTGTCAATCATTGGCTGTAAAAGCTTGTGATGCTATTTTCTATCATCTGTTTCTTATTCTACACAGTTAATTGAAATGTTTTGTTTTACATTTGAAGAGTGTGTTATTTTATCATTATATGTCTACTGTTTTTGTTTTATGTTTGCTTGACTCTATGTTATGTATGTAACTTGATTTTTGTGACATTTTGGGCACCACAGTTTTAAGGAGGCCTAAAGCGAAGAGAATTACATCTTCACAACTATTTGTGATGAAAAGTGGTAAGATTATCTTCCCTTATCAGGTGGAGGATTATCTCCCCTTATATTGGTAAGCTCAGATAAACCCGTTGTAAGATTGATAATTGTCTCCTCTTTCAAATGGAGGATTGTCATCTTACAAGAGGGGTGATATTCTGCCTTGTAAAGTTGACAGTTGTCATCCTTCATAGGTTGATAATTATTGGGTTTGATAAGATGGAGGATTAGAATAATCTCCCTTTGGCAGATCGATAATTGTCTCCCTTTGTATGGATGACAGCTGACTCCCCCATATAAGCATGGGGTGGTGGACACAGCATGTTAACCCTGCTTACATTAAAACGCTCACAGCATGCTTCCAGTTAAAGAACAAACAACACTCATTAGTTCTTCTAATCCATAAATTTCACATTTCTCATTCATTCTTATTAATTCTTCACTTAAATTACATATTTGTATAGTATACCTGATGTTTTAAAAAAATAATTTTAAAAATAAATATTTAGATTTATCCCTTAATTTGATAGAATTACATGATGTAAAAACAAAGCCATTGCTAGTGGAAAATTACAGGAAAGCACCATGAAAGAGATCAATTCTGTAGTCATATCACATGCAGTAGTGTGTGACTCTCTGTGACAAAATATAAAGATCTCATGATTGATGTAAAATTCGAATTTCCGTCATAAAATGAAAATGAATGATTTTATAACTCTCCTGATGCACCTTCGTACTACAAAATTTCATTGAGACGACGTAGTGGCTTTATTGACTTTCTTTATATTTATGTAAAAATGGTGTAATTTTCTTCAAACAAAATTTCTGGCAAATGCCTAATAGTATTGTGTAGTTCAATATGAGTGTAAACCAAAAGTTTGGTCGAATATCTCTTACAGATGGTTTGTTTTTAATAAGTTTATGGACTTTCAGATACATAGAATTCCTTTTTACACTTGCTTCCTTTCACACAAGTTACACGATTTGTCACATATTGAATGAGGCTGCTGCAAGCTGATTGGCTGCCATTTGTAGATTGTGATGAAAACTGTGAAGGAAATTTGTGATTGATAACCAATATTGTCTGAGAAAGATTGATACTTGTACAGATTTATCAATATTTAATGAAACTTCAATCTGACCACAAAAAATATTTGAGAAAAAACGTATAGTTGTTCACTCTTTTGACACAGATAAACTCATTTCATCATGACTGTTCACTTCTGAGGAACTACTCGCGCCTCTTCTCAAAATGTAGCAGGCCATAGCACAATGGTCATCTGTCCATCAAGATCCTAAAAATCATTTTAATTTTTTTTTCTTTCAGAATATTGTAATTTTATGGCATTTAATTATCTCTCTTGAGTTTAATTTTCATCAAATTCCTCTCAGTGTTGTGAGCTACTTTACTTTTTTTCTCTGATGTCGATAAATACTATGTATTTACATATCTATCAGGGCTTCTGCTTGACATGTATAGTTCACCAAGTGCTGACATATTGGAAAAGAATGATAATATGATAAAAATTATTTCATTTGACAGGTGGATACTGGATAAATTTTTATAATTTTTCATTTTTGTGTACTGTCTTTGTGAAAATGGCTTAAGTAAGATACAAACATTTTTAAAAGATATGTAAATAATGCTCCACACACATAGAAAATAAACTAGGACTCAGCGGTTGTATCAGATTGTAGGAATATTTAGTGTGACGGCATCCCTGTTACTGATTTGTTAAACTAACATTAACTACGAGTGTTAAAAGTCTGTACATTATTTCTGGTTTGTGGTGGTTTACTTATGTCATGTACTTAAAACCTAACCTGGAGAAAAATCTGTGGTCATTTTGATTCTTGATACGTCTGTATATATATTTCTTACAGTGCACTTTTTAGTGTTATTTTTATTTTCTGAGAAGATATATTTATATCTCAGACTAATCATTACTGATATAATTACCCAATTAACACATATTTCAATGTAAAATCAGGTAAAGTGGAGTTTGGAAAATCCATCTTTTCTATTGATAAAAGAAGTGACTTATTTGTGAGATGACTTGATGACTGAAAATTTTACCAGGCAGTCTGTAAACTAGCTGGAGTTACCTCCCCTAGACCATTATATGGTTATCCATAATTTATATATCCAGTCACATGACTGCTATGATATGTTTAATACAGCAATCATTGCCTTTTTATCTGACTACAATAAAAGTGTTCCTCACTTGACAACCTGATACGGTCTATCTAAAAGTGTTGGTAATGTTAAATGTTAGATGTATATTTTATATGAGACCCTGAGTTGTACGGTATAGTGTCAGATCACTACATGTTACTACATATATATGACAAAGATATATATTGCTGTATACAGGCTTCCCCCCATAAGCATCACTGACCTGATCCAAGCATCCCTATTGTGTCTTTTTTTACTTCAGGGAATGTTACTACATATATATGACAAAGTTAGATATATATTGCTGTATCCAGCCTTCCCCCCCCCCCCTTGCAAGCATCACTGACCTGATCCAAGCATCCCTATTGTATCATATTTTTATTCTTTTCAATAAACATTGCATATCTGATGAACATTCTTATATGTCAGTGAATGAGAAAATCAAGCAATTAAAAATCAGATTATTGTCTACACATGAATGAAAGTTTTAACATTTAAATCAGAAATGTATTCCTTATCTCACTCTTTAATGTAAATGTAAGTATGATTTAGATTTAACTCAATGTTTTTTGTGTACATTCTAGAATCTCAACATTTATTTTCAGTGACATTGGATGCAACTAACCGAGAAGTTCCAAAAAAACTTGATCTAAAATTGAAGAAGTTCAGTGTGAAAAGAACTGACCTGGTATCACAGCTGTCACAGGAAAAAACACCATCCCCACAACAGGTAAAACACCATCCCCACAACAGGTAGAACACCATCCCCACAACAGGTAAAACACCATCCCCACAACGGATAAAACACCATCCCAACAACAGGTAAAATACCATCCCCACAACCGGGTAAAATACCATCCCCACAACAGGTAAAACACCATCCCCACAACAGGTAAAACACCATCCCAACAACAGGTAAAACACCATCCCCACAACAGGTAAAACACCATCCCCACAACAGGTAAAACACCATCCCAACAACAGGTAGAACACCATCCCAACAACAGGTAAAACACCATCCCCACAACAGGTAAAACACCATCCCAACAACAGGTAAAACACCATCCCCACAACAGGTAAAACACCATCCCCACAACAGGTAGAACACCATCCCCCACAACAGGTAAAACACCATCCCCACAACAGGTAAAACACCATCCCCACAACAGGTAAAACACCATCCCCACAACAGGTAAAACACCATCCCCACAACAGGTAAAACACCATCCCCACAACAGGTAAAACACCATCCCAACAACAGGTAAAACACCATCCCCACAACAGGTAAAACACCATCCCCACAACAGGTAAAACACCATCCCAACAACAGGTAGAACACCATCCCAACAACAGGTAAAACACCATCCCCACAACAGGTAAAACACCATCCCAACAACAGGTAAAACACCATCCCCACAACAGGTAAAACACCATCCCCACAACAGGTAGAACACCATCCCCCACAACAGGTAAAACACCATCCCCCACAACAGGTAAAAACACCATCCCCACAACAGGTAGAACACCATCCCCCACAACAGGTAAAACACCATCCCCCACAACAGGTAAAACACCATCCCCCACAACAGGTAAAACACCATCCCCCACAACAGGTAAAAACACCATCCCCACAACAGGTAGAACACCATCCCCACAACAGATAAAACATGTTATAAACACCACATAAAGCCAACTCCCAAATAGATTTAAAGAAATTGTCTGCATACTCTACACAGCATTACTTATTAAAATCTGTGTTGAATGTAGGTCTGACTGTCAGTGGAAAACATTTTTCATTACGTCATCATTCAGTTAAGATATAGTTTAGATTTGTAGTTTAGATTTGGATGTAGTTGTTTACATTTTCTGTGTTGATTACAGGAGGAGATAAAACCAGTCAATGGAAGAAAAGTCATCACACCGGTGTCACCTCTCTCCTTCAGTGGAGAAATCTCTATTGATGGTAAGTTTATGGTTTTTTAGACACTTTTGTGATGAAAGAATGAACGTAGTGCACTTTGGTGATGTACTTGATGTAGTAGATTGGGAAGTTATGGCATGCCTTTGGACAAACTGTTTAAAACCATTTTTCAAAAGCTTTCACTACCAGATCGAGACAACATAATCTTTAATCCAATATTTTACCGTGCCCTCCTTTCAACTTTCAACTCTTTTAACACTTTTAACAAAACCACTTTAAATATAAACCCTCTTATTTTTGTTTTACTAGATCAGTTGTTAAAAGTTACCAGTTAGTGAATAGGTTTAATCAGGTGTAGATAGTTCAAACCAGCAGAAAAGGACAAAGTTATCGAGAAGAATTCATTCATGTTAATTTCCAAGGAAGTCCCCACTTACATTATGAATTTATATTATTGATTATGCTGTTTGTTTTTAGGGAGTGAAGGCTCTGGTGATACACATGACTCACTAGACTTGGACGAGCTGATGAGTAAACGTGATGAAGTGAGTAATGTTAACAAGAGTTATCTCTCTTGTCCCTTAACAGTGATAAGTAACCATTCTTCTCCTTAAACTGTCTGGTATGACTTTTTATTTTTTATGACCATGCATACAAAATTAAGAATTTTTTTCTTTTTACCTCACAGTAAAATGAAATATGTATGATGAGTTTCATAAATCTTAAATGGACACAAATATAAGAATCTGTTCATCACATTAAAAAATAATAACTTTTAAAATATAATTTTCTGAATCTTTTCTGTAATCAGTGATAGTCACTTGTGAAGCCCTATAACTTATTCAGTGTGTGAATCAGGTTATGTTGAATTGGTTTTGTTTATGGTATCGGCACTTGTCTCATTATTTGTGAGATTCCTGACATGAAAGGACATCACTCATCTTAGATACAAGCTGGAAGCTTGGAGAAAACTGTTTTCCTATCATTTTCAGAACTGAAGATTGTAAGTGAAATAATGATGTTTGATTACTGTCGATACATTCTAGGTCCAGTCTGACAATGAAGTTTATCTGGTAATATTAGCATTACCCTTCACAATCCTCAGAATGAAGAAAAAAATCTCGGATTCAATTTGAATCCTCTGCTTTGAAAATGAATGCAACCATGTTTCTACATGAAAATTGCAAGCCAATGCATTGATAATTCCTGCTTCATTATAATTACCTACCAAGTTTCAGATTCCTGTATCAAAACTTTCCCAAATATAGAATCTAAATGATTGAAAGATAAATGGAATTCTGTGTGGAAAGAAGAAAAATTGATATCTTGTGTTAGTTCTTCTTCCACTTGTGATGAAATGTTGATGTTTCCTTATTTTTGAACTCTTTTAGAAACTTGTTGATTAAATTTAGGATGTGTCCGTGCATCACCACAATCAGTTGTAATCTAAATTAGTCATGGAAAGCTTTACCTCCAGGTGAAAAGGCAGATTCTTGAGTTTGCTAAACTGGTTATTTAAGTAATTTTTTCCTGATAATCATGATGAAATTCACCAACCCCTGCCACTATACCCAGAAGGTAAATGTTCAAAATTCACCAACCCCTGACAATATAACCAAGATAATTCCAAAATATACCATTTTACATTTGAATGTAAATCTGTTAAATTACACAAGTCACTAGCATGCCTATGTACAGTGATGTCTGAAATGCTTGCCATGATTTCTGAACGTAGCTATTCCCAAGCATTTCTGATTAAGACCATGCATTTTGGTCAGTGTCAATGTTAATGTCAGTATATCCCCTGCCAATCCTGGTGAAGACCTTGCATTTCGGTCAGTGTTGAAGCTTAAGTCATAATACTGTCCTGTTCATTCCCAATAAGGTCCCCCAAGTGTTTGAATCAGGTGTCATTACTGCCCAATCAGGAATGTTATATTTCTGTGGTATAGCTGGCTGTATGGATGGATGTTGTATTTAGGAACACTGCCAAGCATTGATACCTGTAAGGTATCTCAATTTCTGTGATGATTTCACAACACAGCAAACCAGAACTCAGAAACATTGATACCTGTAAGGTATCTCAATTTACAGCAATGATGTCACATTGCTGAACAGCACTCTGAAACATTCAAATTTGGTACCTGAATTGTGTCACATTATTTGTGATAATTTCACAACACAGCAAACCAGAACTCAGAAAGATTGATGCCTGTAAGGTATCACAATTTTTCCGTGATGATATCACATCCCTGAATAGAACTCGGAAACATTGATACCTGTAAGATATCACAATTTTTCCGTGATGATATCACATCCCTGAATAGAACTCGGAAACATTGATACCTGTAAGATATCACAATTTTTCCGTGATGATATCACATCCCTGAATAGAACTCGGAAACATTGATATCACAATTTTTCCGTGATGATATCACATCCCTGAATAGAACTCGGAAACATTGATATCACAATTTTTCCGTGATGATATCACATCCCTGAATAGAACTCGGAAACATTGATACCTGTAAGATATCACAATTTTTCCGTGATGATATCACATCCCTGAATAGAACTCGGAAACATTGATACCTGTAAGGTATCACAATTTTTCCGTGATGATATCACATCCCTGAATAGAACTCGGAAACATTGATACCTGTAAGGTATCACAATTTTTCCGTGATGATATCACATCCCTGAATGATGATTGATATCACAATTTTTCCCTGATGATATCACATCCCTGAATAGAACTCGGAAACATTGATACCTGTAAGGTATCACAATTTTTCCGTGATGATATCACATCCCACATCCCTGAATAGAACTCGGAAACATTGATATCACAATTTTTCCGTGATGATATCACATCCCTGAATAGAACTCGGAAACATTGATACCTGTAAGGTAGAACTCGGAAACATTGATACCTGTAAGGTATCACAATTTTTCCGTGATGATATCACATCCCTGAATAGAACTCGGAAACATTGATACCTGTAAGGTATCACAATTTTTCCGTGATGATATCACATCCCTGAATAGAACTCAGAAACATTGATATCACAATTTTTCCGTGATGATATCACATCCCTGAATTTTTGATATCACAATTTTTCCGTGATGATATCACATCCCTGAATAGAACTCGGAAACATTGATACCTGTAAGGTATCACAATTTTTCCGTGATGATATCACATCCCTGAATAGAACTCGGAAACATTGATATCACAATTTTTCCGTGATGATATCACATCCCTGAATAGAACTCGGAAACATTGATACCTGTAAGGTATCACAATTTTTCCGTGATGATATCACATCCCTGAATAGAACTCGGAAACATTGATACCTGTAAGGTATCACAATTTTTCCGTGATGATATCACATCCCTGAATAGAACTCGGAAACATTGATATCACAATTTTTCCGTGATGATATCACATCCCTGAATAGAACTCGGTTGATATCACAATTTTTCCGTGATGATATCACATCCCTGAATAGAACTCGGAAACATTGATATCACAATTTTTCCGTGATGATATCACATCCCTGAATAGAACTCGGAAACATTGATATCACAATTTTTCCGTGATGATATCACATCCCTGAATAGAACTCGGAAACATTGATACCTGTAAGGTATCACAATTTTTCCGTGATGATATCACATCCCTGAATAGAACTCGGAAACATTGATATCACAATTTTTCCGTGATGATATCACATCCCTGAATAGAACTCGGAAACATTGATATCACAATTTTTCCGTGATGATATCACATCCCTGAATAGAACTCGGAAACATTGATACCTGTAAGGTATCACAATTTTTCCGTGATGATATCACATCCCTGAATAGAACTCGGAAACATTGATATCACAATTTTTCCGTGATGATATCACATCCCTGAATAGAACTCGGAAACATTGATACCTGTAAGGTATCACAATTTTTCCGTGATGATATCACATCCCTGAATAGAACTCGGAAACATTGATACCTGTAAGGTATCACAATTTTTCCGTGATGATATCACATCCCTGAATAAACATTGATACTCGGAAACATTGATATCACAATTTTTCCGTGATGATATCACATCCCTGAATAGAACTCGGAAACATTGATATCACAATTTTTCCGTGATGATATCACATCCCTGAATAGAACTCGGAAACATTGATATCACAATTTTCTGTGTATCATTATTTTGCTGATGATTTCACACCACTTAAATAGTCATTAGCTCCCCACACTTTGACACTGTATCAGGGGATCATGTTATATGTTGGTAACAGCAGGAAAACCCTCTAACCACATCACCTCACTTCTGGTAATCGACGTAGGACCGGTTCTGTAAACAATACCCATGTGACTGTTTTGTCTTTATCAGTGTTAACACTTCCCACATTTACCTTGATCATCATGTATTACATGTTTATGTGATGTATTCAATCACAAGATTTATTTTATAAGGTTATTAAACCTTTTTAGTTAATCATTTTATAAACAGTTGACAAATTGTGTTGAAAGTATTTATCATGATATATCTGATTGTCATACAACTATGAGATTCTATTTCTCGTATCTTTGTCCTATGCATGCTACCAACAACATATCCACATACTGGTAAGGATAATGAGCACGTTTTAATGAAGATCTTACAAACTTGGAATGTATGATACTTTTATTACCATTTACCTTTCTCTGACTCCCTCATGGTCATGTGATAACTCTATACAGCTCGATGGTTTGACCTATTTTGCCAAGTGTTCATAATTGTTGCTTTATCTTTCTTAAAACACTCTTTTTTTTTTTTTTTTTTTTAAATCACTTCATTATTTAAAACTAAGATTTTTGCACTTATACAATATCAACAATTTTTATTCTTTGCAAAAAGAAAAAAAAAACTTTTAAGCAAACAAGGTCAGGTGTATGTACAATTTGTACTTTATATAATTAACTCTGCATATAGTCATTAAGGACAATAAGTTAATATTCAATGATAATTGACAGAGTTATTGCCCTTTCTCCAATATTTATTGACCAGTGATTTTACTTTAAATGTATTTAAATCTTTTTATCTGACAGCTAATATGTCCACTCATATCTATTTCACTTCTACATAAATGCCAATAAAAGTTAATTAATTATACAATAATATATTGACACATCTACAGGTAATTTCCTACAGGAGATATTTCTGATGCTATATCAGTTGTGTCCTGTTCATCCCCTTTATTTTACTTCCTTTATTGCATGGCTGAACCCTTTATTTCACAACTGTATCATACTATTTCAGGTTATCACTCAACAGTGTATATAACATTATACATCAGATACAAAACTGGTAGGATTTCCTGACCTCAGACTATATGTGTTAGGAATAGACATATATATTTAATCTGGTCACTTTTAAGAATGTTTCACATTGTTATAAAACATGACATGACATGTTTTTTAATGGATACAAATTATCTCCTTTTAGGTTTTGTATTTTAATGAGTACAAATTATCTCCTTTTAGATATTGTATTTTAATGGTTACAAACTATCTCCCTGTAGGTATTGTATTTTAATGAGTACAAATTATCTCCTTTTAGATATTGTATTTTAATGGTTACAAACTATCTCCCTGTAGGTATTGTATTTTAATGAGTACAAATTATCTCCTTTTAGATATTGTATTTTAATGGTTACAAACTATCTCCCTGTAGGTATTGTATTTTAATGAGTACAAATTATCTCCCTTTAGGTATTGTATTTTAATGGTTACAAACTATCTCCCTGTAGGTATTGTATTTTAATGGTTACAAATTATCTCCCTTTAGGTATTTTATTTTAATGAATACAAATTATATCCATCAGAACTTACAGGACACAAATCAGTATGTACACAGTGAGATGGAGGCTCTAGAGCGAGAACAAAAACAGATTGACGATGAAGCTCAAGGTCTAGAAAGTCAGCTTAGGGTCGTCATGGCAAAAGGTAGGTCAGAATGTATTATGAAAGATTGTCATGACTAATCATTTGTGGTCATCAGTTAATATCTGTCCTAAACAATGGAGTTTCACATTTGTAATTCTCACTCTGATGTCAGATTTTTATCACCTGTAGATAGGGTTCTACTGAAGGTCATTAAGGTCAAGGTCATCTCAAGTTTATCTACACTTATAACATTTGGAGACAGATCAGTGTTAGCAAATTAAATGAAGAATGAAATTTAGATCCCTCAATCAGGTCTATATATGTCATTTTCACATTGAATTATTTTGTATTAGGTAAAAATAAAGCCTTAGAAGAAAAACTGATGCAGGAGTGGTTTTTACTTGTCAACAAACGCAATGCTCTCATCCGCCGTCAAATGCAGCTCAATATACTGTGAGTAATTTTACAATGATGTTGTTTATACATAACAAAATGATTTTGTTGATTCTATACTTATTCTAGATTTATTGTGTTGCCTGCAGAGCTGATGGACATTTAGGGATCACTTTGTCCGTCGTCACGCGGCGGCGTCCGTACGAAAGTTTTCCGGACTTTTTTTGGTAATGCTTTGAGTTATCAAAATGAATTTTGGCATATGGCATTTTGTTGTAAGGGTACAGATTAAGTTTGATTCCTGGCTGTCTGTGACCCTTCTTGGCTGAGTTATGTCCCTTTGAACTTGGAAAATTTCTCAGGAATATTGCTTTGTGCAGTTTTCCCTTTTATGCTTCAAGTTATAGAAATGAAATTTGGTATTACAACTTTATGGTTGATCGTTGCACATCCAGTTCAATTTCTTGGTGACCGTGACACTTTATGCAGGCGACACATACGGTTCCTAGGAACTCTTGTAATTGTTTTATCTTTGATGTTTTCATCTGCTTATTGTTTTGTTAAATTGATGTACAGAAAATTATATAACTTAACTGTGATCTATGTCAATCCATGACTTGACGATATAAATGGGAGTTACTTCCCTTTATACATGATCTTGTCATACTAAAGTTTTGTACTTCATCATTTCTGTGCATTGCTGATTCTAATCCATTTTATTTGGCTCATTCTGTCTCCTTTTCGTGTCACTTTCTATCCATGATTTGAAAGTTAAAGGGATATAAGGGTAATTGGGGTTTTACCCCATAGTAAAACGCAGGAGTATAGTGTCTTCACTTCAGAACCTACATATGATACACTGAGTAGTCGTTTTACACTAAAAATTTCCCAATACATTGTGTCATATATTGATCAGTTTGAAATGGAACAAAGTTAATTCATTTACAAACCAACACATATAAAGGAAAATTATGAATCAAATTTGTATTGTAGTGAAATTTTGATCCTTCAATTTTATTCATGTTGTGACTACCATGATTTAAATTCTCCTCTCAGGATTAAAAAAGTAAGAGTCACAGACTCTTGAATTATTACCCTGCTGAAAGACCAATGTTTACTATTGAGTGATATAGACTTGAATTATTACCCTACTGAAAGACCAATGTTTACTATTGAGTGATATAGACTTGAATTATTACCCTACTGAAAGACCAATGTTTACTATTGAGTGATGTAGACTTGAATTATTACCCTACTGAAAGACCAATGTTTACTATTGAGTGATGTAGACTTGTTTTACTATTGAGTGAAATTGATGTACCCTACTGAAAGACCAATGTTTACTATAGTGATATAGACTTGAATTATTACCCTGTCAATGTTTAAAGATATAGTCTTGAATTATTACATGTTTACTATTGAAAGACCAATGTTTACTATTGATTGAATTATTACCCTACTGAAAGACCAATGTTTACTATTGAGTGATATAGACTTGAATTATTACCCTACTGAAAGACCAATGTTTACTATTGAGTGATATAGACTTGAATTATTACCCTACTGAAAGACCAATGTTTACTATTTGATACTTGAATTATTACCCTATTTGTTTACTGTGCAATTATTACCCTGAAAGACCAATGTTTACTATTGAGTGATATAGACTTGAATTATTACCCTATTGTTTACTATTGAGTGATATAGACTTGAATTATTACCCTACTGAAAGACCAATGTTTACTATTGAGTGATATAGACTTGAATTATTACCCTACTGAAAGACCAATGTTTACTATTGAGTGATGTAGACTTGAATTATTACCCTACTGAAAGACCAATGTTTACTATTGAGTGATATAGACTTGAATTATTACCCCACTGAAAGACCAATGTTTACTATTGAGTGATATAGACTTGAATTATTACCCCACTGAAAGACCAATGTTTACTCTTAGAACTTATTGAACCTACAAAGACCAATGTTTACTATTGAGTGACACTGAGTGATGTCTTGAATTATTACCCTACTGAAAGACCAATGTTTACTATTGAGTGATACTTGAATTATTACCTAAAGACCAATGTTTACTTGTTATATATTGATCAGAAAGACCAATGTTTACTATTGAGTGATGTAGACTTGAATTATTACCCTACTGAAAGACCAATGTTTACTAAAGTTAAAGACCAATGTTTACAGTGATGTAGACTTGAATTATTACCCTACTGAAAGACCAATGTTTACATATAAAGTGATGTAATTATTACCCTACTGAAAGACCAAACTATTGAGTGATATAGACTTGAATTATTACCCTACTGAAAGACCAATGTTTACTTTGAGTGATGTAGACTTGAATTATTACCCTTGTTTACTATGAGTTGTGACTACCATGAAAGACCAATGTTTACTATTGAGTGATATAGAATTATTTCTCCTGTTTACTATTGAGTGATTAGACTTGAATTATTACCCTACTGAAAGACCAATGTTTACTATAGTGATGTAGACTATTATTACCCTACTGAAAGACCAATGTTTAGAATTATTACCCTACTGAAAGACCAATGTTTACTATTGAGTGATGTAGACTTGAATTATTACCCTACTGAAAGACCAATGTTTACTATTGAGTGATGTAGACTTGAATTATTACCCTACTGAAAGACCAATGTTTACTATTGAGTGATGTAGACTTGAATTATTACCCTACTGAAAGACCAATGTTTACTATTGAGTGATATAGTCTTGAATTATTTCCCTACTGAAAGACCAATGTTTACTATTGAGTGATATAGTCTTGAATTATTTCCCTACTGAAAGACCAATGTTTACTATTGAGTGATGTCCCCACTGAAAGACCAATGTTTACTATTGAGTGATATAGTCTTGAATTATTTCCCTACTGAAAGACCAATGTTTACTATTGAGTGATATAGACTTGAATTATTACCCTACTGAAAGACCAATGTTTACTATTGAGTGATATAGACTTGAATTATGTCCCTACTGAAAGACCAATGTTTACTATTGAGTGATATAGACTTTATTCTTGCCATCAGAGTTAACAAATGATGTTTTCTGTTATATTTGTAATCTGTTCAAGGTCACTGTGACTGAAATGGCAGCCTTTGTCTAAATTTTGTCATAACTGTAATGGTCCTGATTCTTCACAAAATTTTATGCAAGTTTGCAGTACCAGACAGGTCAGAATGATGATGGCACAATGCTCTCCATGACAGAAAATACCTTTTCCTTGTACATTTTCAGGTAGAGGACGATAAGCTATTTTGACACTTGATGAAGTTCTTTAGTCATTCTTGAACATTCTATACAAGTCTTTCCTAGTTTTCAATCCATCGTGTTCTGCCTCTTAAATTGACCTCATTTTTATTATGGATAATCAGGTGATGAACAAATTGAATGCACAAGGCTTAATGTTGAGGTGTTACCTGTCCAGAGACAAAAAAATACAAATTTAGAAACAATTACCATATCCAAAGTCCTTTCTGATTTGTGTTTTTGTTATGTTGAATGGGTTGCCTCCCTTCCCTCATTCATGAACACTCTCAGTTCTATTCTACTTCATAACATGTGAGTCTAGCAATACCATTATGTATCTAAAGTATCCAGGAAATTTAGACCGGGAGAAAAATGAAGTAGGTCCGTTCTTTTATCCTGTGCATTTTTTTCCTTCACTGATATGGTTATGTGAGGTGAACCAACTTCACTTAGAACATAATTTTTTATGAAAATGAAAGAATGTAGTGGAAACTCTCATTGTACTGATACTAAGTTGTCAAGTTGGTCAAAGATATTGCACCTTAAAGTTGATTTGGGATTTTTTGAAGTGTTGTAAATATATAAGTTTCTAAACAAACATTATTTTATTGCAAACTTTCCAGTAGCTCTGTGTAATAAAAACAAATTTTTTATGTAAATTTTCAATTATTTATGATTTTTGTTTACTTTTATTTGAAAAAAAAATATATAAAAAATAGTGAATGAAAAAATATGATTGATTTCAGAACATTTACACAATAATGATATGAAATTTAAAAATAAATTGAATTCAATTTAGAAATAGTTTGTTTGATTCTTACTCAGTGACAAAAAAAAAACAATTCTGATATAAAGTACATCAAAGATGTCTGAAGAAAAATATACTAAAAAGTTGTTTAAGTCACCATCAGTAAAGACATGGGAAAAATTTAATATTTATGATTATCTACAATTTTCATAGTCGTTAATGTTGTGGGAGTAGTTACATGAAAAGTGACATTAAGGAGAGAATCCTGTTGAGAAGATAATCTTGTTAGTGATGGCGTACTAATAATATAACTTTATGACTCCATGATTTTATCTTATTGGATAAGTGTGTAGGCTAACGATACCTTGTTATAAAAGCATTGAAGAGTTTAGATAATGCATTGTAGAAAATCAATATAAATGACACATTGTTGTCATGACTTCTCGCGATTATTGTTAAAACGTGTTTTAGGCCTTTTAAGGATTATTGACTTACTTTAGAAACAGCAGGAATTTTAAGATGTTCTTGTTTTTATATTCAGCTCACAGTGAGACTTAATTAAAAAGTAAGATAATGGAGCACTTAAAAATAAAAGTGGCGTATGTGATTTATTGTGAAACGTTTTCCAACCTACAGAAAGTAGACCTGCAGATGTAAAAGCCAAATATTTCCAACTGAAATAAAAAATTCTGTGAAGATATGTAGTTTGTTTGGATTGATTCCTTGGTTTTCAAGATAAATGTATGTTACACCAGAATTTAAAATTGAATCTTTGACTAAACATGATGATCAATTTCTCTGTATGCTGCAACCTTTAAATTTCAGTTGAAAATGGCTGCTGTAAAATAACCTAGTGCTGCTTAATGAGGCTAATTTCTTGTAGTGCTTGGAATCCTTGCCAAGGAACAAATTATCAATATTAGCAAAATAGTAAGAAATCTTATATTTTTGTGGAGTTCAATTTTTTTTTTTAAATCACTGTTTTGTGGACATGATTTTGTAGATTAATAAAAGCTGTATAAATCT